TGACCCAGGCTTTTCCCAATGTTCTCCCCACCATAGCCCCTCCAAAAAAAATCAGACAGCTAACAATGTCTTTATGACACCTTCTCACTTCTTAGATACGAGGTCCAGGAGGGGTATTTAGGGGATATAAGGGGAAGGCATGTGGTCAAAAAGACCAAACGAAATCCTATCATGATACAGCTGGACAAGACCGCAAAGCACTGGCCCCTTTGCTCACTGACGGCATGGGGTAGTAGGAATGACCAACGGGGGTGGATCTGAAGATTGGGGCCATTCTTTAAGTAGAGGTGCAGTATGGGTTTTCTAGGCCTTTTTCTCACAAATAATTTTCTGGATCTCTAATAAGTACTAAATTTTTAATAAATAAATAAAAACAGCAATGATTACATATACTCAGCCCAACTTTGTCTGTGGTTAGCTGCAACAAAATCTAACCCTGACCTGTCTGATAATTACAAGAACTGAACATTTTCCCTGTATGCATGGTGAAATGATGTAGCTTCAAAAAAAACTTGGGAACAAACACCTTTAAATGTAAATACAAGAGTACACAAAAGGAGGTTTAGAGCTGTTTGCATGGAAAATAATACAGAATCAATAAATAATAGTACAAGAATAAACTGTTTCACTGTACTCACAAATGTAAGCCTACTTCTGCCCATCCCTGTATGTAACGTAGGAAACGGAATCATTGCTACGGGAAACTGTCAACTGGGAAATTCAGAAGGGATTCATAGCCAAAATGTAATGTGTGTGCTCTTCTGCATGAGCGGTATAATACTGTCACTTTTTTTTTACTGAGGTGTTTTACTGACACTGGCCTTTTGATTCCATGCAAGACAGAGGCCTGAGATCTCGGCATGGAGGAGATGCTCACTAAATATTTGTTGAATGGATAAGGCATGGGTGTGCAAAATCACTGCTCCCTGTCAGGGATTCTGCACATTAAACACCTCTCTGTGTGTCTTCAAAGGCACCCTGGGTCTGCTTTTCCTCGGAATGATTCCATTTGGCCTGGGTGGTGAGGCCGTATCACAGCTGGGTGTAGCGATAACTCCATTCAGCTCACTTGCTGCACCAGGGAAGAAAAAATGTGCTTTTGTGCCATTGTAATTTCCTGGCTTCTAGAAGGAGCCATGGCTCCACTATTATCAAGCTTGCAGTTTCTCTTTTAGTTCTTAGCCCTGAATGCTTACTTGGAAAATTAATAGAAGGAATAACTGGACTGCTGGAGACAATGGCAGGGGTTAGGACTATAGTTAACACCCATTCACAGGAAGTAGAAGCATTATTCCAGAAGACAGACCCAGGTCATCAGGCTCAGAATAGGGAGGTACTTCCTAGAGCCATGCCACGGGGAACACACTGCCACGTAAGTTGCCTTCCTGTCTCTGGATGATGCAAACTGTGGCTGGATGGACAGCCTGTGCTACAGAACTGACAACGGTATCAGGTGGGAAACAGAAGTGACCTTTAAGGCCTCTTCCAATTCTGCGTTTGATTTTCCCATGTCCCTGTAGATTCTGAGGGATCAAAAGATGCTGTGAATGGTGCTTCCTCTATCCCTGTAATTTTCTTGGTTACTGCAGATTTAGTCAGTAAGGCACCTGATAGCAGGCACAGCCCAACAGCAGCAGTTGTCCCTCCTTGTCACTGCGGTACCAATCCTCTCACTGTCCATCCTGATGATGCCTCAAATACCCAAGCAAAGGGTCAAAGATGTTGCAGCAAAGGCAGCAAGAATGAGCAGGACACCTTGGCGGCCCCAGTAATGCTATGAAATATGTAGGCAACGTGGCATCCCTCTCATGCCTCTGCACCTCCAAAATCCAGGTCAGCTATGAATCCCTCCACGAGGCCTTCTCAAACATCTTCCTGGTTGAAATTAGTGGATGCTTCCTTAGAACGCTTAGAAGGTCCTTACGCCTCCTTTAAAGTACAATGCCTCTCCTGTTCTGTAGTGTGCTGCAGTTATTTGTGTGCAGGTCTTATCTCCTCTACTAGGATCTTATAAGGCAGGATCCATTACAGCACTGGGAAAGCCAGGGTAAATCAACTCTCCATCTGAGTGCTAATGATTTGGTTGAAGCAACTGGATAAATGCACCAAGGATGGATTTTGGAGATAGCATCTTTCATTAAACATTAATTCATACGTGGCAAGCATGCAAAGCATACCCGCTGCATGTTGGACACTGAGTTACACTCTTACGACACTGTTAAGAGGAAATAAGAATTAGATAAAGATTTTACCCTCTCACCATAATAATGAAATCCATCACCTCCACTGACCCTCAACATCAGCTCAGGGGTGAAACTTGGAGTCAGGCTGTATCTGGTCAAAGAGATGTAACTTCGTGCCTGGTCACCTGAGGAGTGGCACATTCCTATTTTATACCACTTGACTTTGGAAGCTCAGACATATATAAGGGTATGATGGCCTTATTTAAGACTCTAGAGATCAGGCAGGGACAGGCTGCATGAGATGTCATCATCGCTGCCCGTGAGCGGCTGGGAGAGGGTTGGCACTAGCACTGAGGATAGACCGTATAAGGAAAAGCAGGCAGTGTGCTTAATGTTACAGAGGACATGAACACGAGCATGCAGCCAGCCTGCATTGGTCAGAATCCCAAGTTGGCCATTCACTTGCTGTGTGACCTTGGGTAGTTACCTAACCTCTTTGTGTCTGTTTCCTCATTTGTAAGATGGGAATAATAATTTTATCTTTCTCATGTAGCTGTGGTGAGGACTTAAAGACTTAACAATGTAAGTAGAGTACCCAAAACAGTGTTAGTAGAGTGAGTTGAGTTGTTACAATGTTCTGTATTGAGCATCCCCTTGATTGACAGTAAGTCAGGACCCAGACCAGACAATTTCACTCATACCATCAAGGTAGTCCCTTCACTGTAGAGACACAGAACCAGCCTCTCAGCCAATGAATGCATTTTCACAGGCTTCCAGTCCCAGAAGAGAGGCTTTCTAGGCATTTGAGTATAATATTCCCAACGAAGCAGGAAATGAAGAGATGCTCCTCCTGAAGACACTTTCTTGGTCTTGGGACATCAACATAAGCCCACTTATCCAAGGAGACCCCCTCGGTGACACCCTCCTTCCCCAAACCTCTGCAGAATTCTGCCAGTCTCCCACTGCTTCTGCATCAGCTCTGACCATCCTTTGCCCACTGAGGCCCTGCATCAGCCTTCTGACAGCTAGTCATCTCCATTCCCTGCTGATTCCATGAGGCTTATACAACTCAGACCTTAGTATATCATTTCTCTGCTTAACTATGACTGACAGGGAAATCCAACTGGAAACAATGATATTGAGTTGTCCCACCAAATGGATTATGATTAAACTAAAAGTTAAATAATATTAAGTACTTTTCAAGAGTTTGGGGAAGGAGAGTCTCACACATTCCTGGTGGGAGTGTCAATTAGTATGGCTGCTTTGGAGAGCCTCGAGGCAGCGTGGACTAAAATTAAAAGTGCACACACGCACTGCCCCGGCGAGTTCGGGCTCCAAGTCTACGCAGAAGTACTTTCTTGTGAGAACGAACAGGCATATGAAGGACATTCAATGAGCCTTGTGTGGAATGGAGAAGAAGATTAAAGCCTAAATGTCCGTCAAAAGGAAATGGCTAATCTCATTTATTCATCTTCTGGAGTGCTATGCAGTATTGAAAGCATAAGCTAAGTCTAGATTTACTAACAGGAAAATGTTATATAACTATGAGTTATGGGATGGAGTATATCCACCCAAAATCTGTATGTTTAAGTCCTAACCCTCAGGATCTCAAACTGTCTATGTTTGGATACAAAATCTTTAAACAGGTAATTAAGGTCAAGGGAGGTGGGCCCTAATCCAACATGATTGGCATCCATATGAGAAGAGGGATGAGTGTGTGAAGACACAAGGAGAAAAGGGTCACCTACAAGCCAAGGAGAGAGGCCTCAGAAGACACCAACCCTGCCAACACCTTGATCTTGGACTTCTGGCCTCCAGAACCACGAGAAAATAAATTTCCGTTGTTTAAGAAACCTAGTCTGTGGCACTGTGGCACTGCAGCCCTAGCCAAGGAAGACACCATACTGTATAGAAAACTGAGTGGAAGGGTCTTCCCCAGCCTGACAACAGCAGTTACCTATGGAGAGAGATTGGGAGTAAGGAGAATAGTTGAAGGAGAATGTAGCCTTAAAAATAAGGTTTTACTTTTTACAATAAGACAGCGCTTATATATTATTTGCATATCAATTTTTTTAAATCCTCTTCCATGGCACAGCATACAATGTACCTCACCACCTGGATGCAACAATCCCTAGAACTTGAGACCTGTCCACCGTCATCCCCCAACCCCTGCACACCTATCTGCCACAATAGAACGTCCCATCTCTCTAATGCCTCGAAGCCTCTGACTGTCTCCTTCTGCTTGGAATGTCTTTCCCCCTTTTTTTAAAGCCTGGGCTGGTGACTTTCATCCTTCAGAGCTCAGCCTGACATCACCACTTTAAAAATAGGTTCCTGGAAGTCTTACTGGGCAGGCCTCCCCCAGGGCTACTTCTCCATTCTTTCGACGTTTTAATCTTATTTGTACTCCCAGTGTCTGATCAGCGTCTACAGCTTAAATGCTCAATAAATGGTTCCCACATACATGGATGTAGGGCGGTTTTCTAGCAGTTGCTTTTCCATCCACTCTGTCTCAAAGGTCCAGCACCTCAGTCCATGTGTATTAGTAAGGGACTCCTTAGAGACTCAGGCTGTAACCATGGCAAAGTGAGGTCCTAGCCTTTCCAAGTTGTTTTTAATACAACAGGACAACAATATTTCTGGGTCATCCAAGCCCCATTTGCTTCCATATCTGATGAAATCAGCTAAGAATGTATTTATTGCAAATTTTTAAAGTTCTGTGCCCATCAAAGTTTTCAATGACTTAACCGACAGCAGGCCCAAATCAAAAATGCCCATTGACCTGTGCCTGGGAGCCTCTGATGAACCAGGCCTTACCTCTTCATCGGCTTGGGTGAGCACTCCCTCTCCAGGTTGGAGGATGTGTGTTTCACATGCATCGCATTGTAGGAAGTGTGAGTATAGTCATTTTCGTCGCTGTAGTCAGGACCGAGCAATGTCCGCGCCCAAGTTCCCATGTCATAGGGAGGAAGGGTTCCTCCAAATTCCGAGGGCAAAAATTCAGGGTGTATTAGCTGATGAAGGCTGTTTAAATTGTTCCCATGCAGGAAAATCTGGAAAGAAAGAAAATAGTTAGTGATTAAGAAATGCAAAACATATGACCGAGTATGTAAGCTAATACACAATTGAACAATGACAAATTGGATATGCTGCTGTGGATGGCAGTATTTAAGGAGGCATTCAGTTTCATGTCTACGGCTCTGTCTTTATGAAATGTTAATTTATTGCTCAGAAAAGGGGCCAATTTAATATCCTTAAAAATGAAGTTCAGGAACAAATTGGGTGTTATTTGGCCGTGGCCCAAAATTTACAGAGACAGTCATCCCTAATTATGCCTACTAGGGATAAGAGCAGTGAAGCAGGCCACCCACGCCCCCGCCACCGCTTCCACGCACCTCTGTATCACTCTCTTCCCTCCCCCGGAGCATTCTCCGCCCTCTGCTCCTCCTCAACGCTCCCCATTATTCCCAGGCCCGCAACACGCAGCAGCTTCTTCCCAAGTCTGTCCCAGAGACACCTGATTGCTCAGGTTCTCCGACTTCCTGCCCCCAACTAACTCCTTATGAGCTGCTGACTTCTATTTTATGGTGATTCGTTCCTTTATGCTTTGCTGGACAAAAGGAAGAGAAAGATGCCCAGAGAAAAAGATGGTATTTTCTTACTCTTCTAATATGCTCATAGCTTCTGGGGTCATGTGGGCATAAGGTAAAAGTTCAATCAATTCTTAGTCAACGAAATTGACAACTGTGGCCTGGGACTTAATCGTGAAATAGTATTGCAGCTACTTCCCAATCATGTCTGAGGGCTAATCACCAAACAGGTCTGCAGCTTCTAAACATGTAATGTAATGGACGGTGAGGGAAATTGGTCAAGCAGGGGAGAAAACACCCCCAAATTAGAAGTATTTTTATGCAAACACATAAAGTGGATAGATAAGCCACAGGCTGATAATTACCACTGCCTGCAATTTAGGAGTTGACTCCTGGAAGTGTATTTAAAGTACACCTGCGTAATGACATTCGTTTCCACACTTCTTCATACTGCAGGCTCAATACACTAAGTATAGGGCCATCACAAATGTACACCCCCCAGTTAATCATTATAACATGTACATGTGATTTGCAAAAGATGTAAACACAGTATCATAACATACCATGTAAGTACTATATTGGACTATATTAACAGTATACTATATTGCAGGATACCTTATTAGTATATAATAAACACCTATTACCTTGTTCTGTTGTACTGGTTTTAACTTTAGATGTAATGGCATCATTTAAAGAAGAAAGGGACAAGAAGCTAAGTGCTAAAATTCTTCAGAAAAAAGCTGTAGCACTATAGAACACGGTACATTTTCTGACAGTGGATTGGGTGTGACCAAATTTTAATAATAATTAGTTCTTTTGAAGAAATTCACATGTTCTGGCTTTTGAAAAACACCTCACAGGAGGAACTGCAGTATTTGAAATGTAGAAAAGTTGGACCTAAACGCCCGCCTACTATTAAGAGCGAACATTTGTATCCACCTACTCCACACCTCTGGTTCTTTGAAGGACGAGGAGGGCTTTGGAAACTGGCCCTTCCCTGCGGGTTCCACGGGACGGAGAAGCTCAACAGGGAGGACACTGGATGTTCCACCTGCACAATTCTGTTCTGCACTCTGAGCTCCAGAAACTCCCTTCTATGGCTCAGTGCCAGATGTTGATTGCTTGGTGGGAGGAATTCTTGCTGGCTCCTTCCTGAGTAGAAGATGAAGCCAGTGGGAAGCCTGAAGCTATATTGGAAACAGTCTAGAGCACGTCTCTGTCCTTAGCACTGTCCTGAGCCCCAGACAGATTGCAAAATGTCCCGGAATGTCTCTCCCTCCTGAGGCTGACTAGTCCTAATTCCCAATCCCACGTTTGTTTAGTAACAGCAGAATGACTCCCTTGTACCCTAGTGCAGTGTTCCTAAGGACTTGGAAGCATCTGAGGTCTGGGAGTTAGGAACCCAAAGACTGGGATGGGGGGGTGCATGGCAGGGGGGGTTCCCTCACATCATTATTCTCCACACAATACTCAGAGCTCTCCCCTAGCATGGGGGCCTCCAGTAGAGGGGTACACTTAAGATGCTGTAAGAATGCCCCTGGCCAGGTACCCTTTGGAGGTGTGGCTCCCGACCCAAGAAAGTAGCCGACATCAGAAAGCTTGAAAGAAAAAGGAGCTAAATGGTAAAAAAAAAAATCACAGCCACCAAATCTCTCCTACATGTGTGGCATCCTTCTACCTGTTTTCCTGTGCTGTCACATTTAATTACCCCAGCAGCTCCGTCATGTGGGCATTAGTAACCCCATTTTACAAATGAGGAAATAGAGTCAGAGCGGTCAGCGAATGTTCAGTTTCTCAACTAATCAGAAAGCCATACACAAGGCCAGCTTCTCAAATGTCATCAGCTGATATAATCAAGACTTTAAAAGCCTTCTTCATTATTATTTCTAATGAAGAATGTTTCCCCAGCCTCAAAGGTGATAGATTTGGCAGCTATGACCCAAGTGTCCTCGGGGAAAAATAAACTATTAATATTCTGCATCATGATATTACATTTGCAGGACAAAATGCTGGCTATTAAAATATTCCAATAACAGGAAGCTGTTTGACCCCATCGCTCCCAGAATCGTTTACGGTAAAATGGGCATCTGGTGTTTGCAGCATGGCTTCACCGTTTCCTTCCGTTTGTCACTGGGACTCTGAAAATAACCCAGTTCTACTAAATTATTGATTGAATCCAGGCCATTTTCAAACTCCAGCTGAGGCTCAAATGCTCAGGGACTGTAGAAAAGCAGGAAAACCACAGAGAAAAATGAGGAGAGAAGGAGAGAGTGAGAGATTGAGGGGAAGGATGCTGCAATTCACTGCCCCCCACCTGGCCCCGCTTCATTCCTATTAGGCATTGGGCATTTCTTTCCCTTACCCGCTTCCTGGTCTTGTCCTTAAGAAATGGCTTGATGAGTGTGTACAAGGCATGAATGTACCAGGGCTGGTTGACAAAGTGGACTCCTCCGAAGCGAGCAGGAAAGCTGTCCTGGGGTGGAGAGAGAAATACAGGGCAGTCAGCAGGCGCTCGGGGTTGGGCTGGGCCCGTTGAGCTGCAGTGCGGAGAACAACCTGCGTCTTCTAACTGAAGGCCTAGCTGAGGGCGGGAAAAGACAGCAAACGTACAGCTTCCCACCTGTTAAGGTTTCCTTTATTCTCCTTGCCCCCGCCCCACCCTGTTGACTCCACAACTTAAAAATCCTGCATAGGTATCAGGACTGCCTTTTCCAAGTCGCAATTATGCTACTGCCCAAAAGGCAGGAGTGAATACAGCCTGGGTGGGAGGAGGTCAGGATTCTCTGTGGCGTTAGGGGGAACCCAGGCTTCAGAACCCAGGAGCCCAGACCACAAGATCTCCCTGCCCTTCTGCTCCAACCCTCCCCACGGATTACCATGACAATGCCTGTACTTCCCGAGAGAGTGAGGGCTCCCTAGCAAGCGGTTGGAGAAGGTTTTCGAAGGCTCTCTGGAACCGACATTACCCATACTAGCACCTTACGCCGGTTACTGAATTGAGTCCTCACTTCACCCTGCATCCTACACAGTGGAACCCAGAGAAAAGATACTTGTTGATTGACAGCTAGTCACTTCCCCTAATGAAGGTCCTCTTTGTCTGCAGATCGACACATTTTGTAAGTATCAGGAAATAAGAGCATTTTGAAAATGGTTCCAATTTTGGAATCCATATCAGGGCACAAGCTTGTGTTTCGGAAGCTGAGAAGCTGGATAAGGGACCTGGCTCATAAAGTGTGAGCTCATCCCACAGACCTACCAAGTCCTGAGGTCCCGACCAGGGACTTCCCCAGACAGCTCATCCTGGTTAATAGAATTTTTAAAGAGAAGGAACGTCTAATGCCATTTGAATTGCCAAGTGGGTTGGCAATCAATTTCACTACAACGAATAATTTTGTCAACTGTCAGCAAACTGAGAGGAAAGCAGAAGTGCCCGGCTGTTAGAGCTCAGGGTTCAGCCAGCCGAGCTGCTTCCTGCAGTGTCTGAAATGCCTTGCTGGGGTCCTTTTTAGGAACGTGGGAAGAGGGTTATTAACTTGTTTTCAGAACCCTCAGCGTGTACGGGATCTTTCACCATCTTTCACATTTCAGCAAGAACTGTGCTGAAGGGTTGAAATTTGAAAAACCTAAAAGAAATTTTGCCTCTATCTAGACATTTTACAGAGTACAAAGAAATTAAATATTTTGCAGTCCACACTAGACAATTTCAATAAAGGTCTTTGTTTTGCAGGGTATTTATTTATTTTTTGTTTCCTTTATTTTAAGTAAAAAACCTTGATGAAACCACCAAGTGAGGGTAAAGAGACCGTTTATACTAACTGGCACATTTGTCAGAATCTCTCACTGTTCCAAATATGAATTGAGAAATGCAAAAGTTCTTAATAAGATAGTCTTTCCTCTTCTCTTTGGGGGACAATTTGGGATCTAAAAATTCTTTGGTTAAAAAAAAAGCCATTCCCCAAAGTTTTGCCTTTGTAGTGAGTGCCAGGCTGTAGCTTTATTTGATTTGGTCCTTTGGAACTTGTTATTCAGAAGTATAATTCATTTTCCCACACACTAAACATGGGTTCTGAGGCACTTTAAAAGAGGAACAAGAAGAAACGGTTTATCTATAAGTCCTGGGTTTTATAGTCTTTTTTAACAAGACCAATAAGATTTTTATTTCTGCTAAGAGTCTGTTGTATTATACATTTCTAGGTTAGTAAAGTGGAAGAAAATTGTAAGTAACACTCAAGGGGCAATAGGCAAAAATTTCCAAGAAAAGATTAACCTTTTAAAAATATCTAGAGGCCCTTGGTTTTAGTTTATGGAACATCAGTCATCAAAGACATCAAAACTGTCTTCTATTGGTGCCAGAGGAGGTTAAAAGATAAAATACAGGCCCGAGATCCTGTCAGTTCTCTCTAGAGTTGGCCTTGGCTTCGAGTCCTCCAGCTCCAAGACACACTGGGCTTTTAGTGATCTCCTTCAGATCAGCCAGCCGTCATGTGCAGATACATGCATGGAAAATCTTATGCCTCAGACTTCTGGGTTTGGGCCAGATTAGAAACAGGATCACTTTCCTTCAAGGTTTATCTATAAAACTCATATGAAAAGCCTTCTGTGCAATAAAGGCAATGTGCAAATATTCTGGGTATTCTCAAATGAGCCTGGCCATATTATTAATAATAATGATGCTTGCGTATGTGTGTGTGTTTTGCAAAGAGAAAGGTGATGGAGGGAAAATGAGCACATACAACCCTACACCCACCATTGTTGGTCCTGTAGCCCGGGCTCATCAGCATACTAGAGGGGACATTGTCTGTAACACAAATGTCTCTCAGGACCCCAAGAGGTCCCTCCACTCTCAGGGAGGTGCTTTTCTTAGGGGCTGGAGCAGACCCAGCTCCAGATGGTACACCTTGATTCAATGGCAGTGTAATGCTTTGTTGTTCTGTGTTCTTAGCAACTAAAGAGTATGCACTGAGAACACACCCTGGGTTCCACAAAATGGTATTAATATTTGCATATTTCATGCATTTATCAATAAAAATATAGTATTGTTTCAAATTATAAATGCTCAAAGAATGAAATTTGGTTTTCCCCCTAGTTTAAATTACTTTTATTTATTTCCTTGTTAGAAAAATAACCCACTCTAAAAAATAAAAAGTAGATAAAAATGTTATTTGAAAAAAATGAAAAATTTTGGAATGACAAAAAAGAAGGAAAGAAAAATTTTGCATATTCTCAGTGTTAAAGACATATGCTTACTATTTGCTCTCCTTCAGGAAGGGCTATATTACACTATAGTAATACAACATACAAGCTCCACTTTTCATTATTTAAAACCATTAAGCTTTATTTCTCACTCACATAAAATGTCCAGTTTAAAATTTAAAAAATCATTATTTATACCAAAAACTTGGAAGATCTCAGACTGAATGAAACAACTAATAGAGGTCCATGCCAAATGACAGAGATGTTAGAATTACTTAACAAAGATTTTAAATTAACAAGCAATTATAAATACACATGAAAAAGTAGAAAAATCTCAGCAAAGAAACAAATACTCTTAGCAAAGAAATATAAAATATAAAGAAATACACAATAAAATTTTGAACCAAAAAGTACTATTACAACAACAAAAAAGTTCAGCAGGTGTTCTCAACAGTGGGGGTGGAAAGGACAGAGGAAAAAGTCAGTGAACTAAAGATACAATAGGAATTATCCTACATGAACAAAGAGCAAATATGCCTGAAAACAATGAGGGGAGTCTTGGGGACCTGTTGGGCTTACGACAAAGATCTAACATTTGTGACATCAGGGTCCTGGAAAGAGGAGAAAGAGCGCAGGACTTGGAATCACCAAGAAATAATGTCTTTAAACTTCCAAAATTTAGCAAGAAACTTAAACCTATAGTTGGGAGCAGCTACATAAACACCAAAGAGTAGAACCTCAAGTAAACTGATGCCAAGACACATCATAACTATATATTCAAAAACTAAAGACAAAATATTGACTGCAGCCAGAGGAGAAAAAATGATCTTGAAATGGCAGTTGATTTCTCATCAGAAACCATGGAGGCTAGATGGAGGTGGTGCAATATTTTTTTGGTGCTGAAAAAAAGAGCTATGAATCTAGGATGCTGTATCCAACAACATATCCTTTGGGAATAAGCAGTTTAAGAAATTCTCAGGTGAAGGGAAATCAAGCAAATCTGTTGACAGTAGACCCACCCCAAAAGAATGGTTTGAGGAAGTTCTCTTCTACAGAAAGAAAATGATAAATAGAATCTTGAGTCATTGGGAAGGAAGGAAGAACACAACAACCAAAAATACAGTTAAATGTGATAGGTTTTTTTCTTTTCTTCTTCAGTTTTCTGATTGAAATAAAAGTCATGACACTGTCTGATGTGGTTCCAAATGTATGTAAGGGAAATTTTAAGACAGTCATATAAATTGGGGAGAGAAAAGAAAGGGAGATAAAGTTTTTAGACTTGATCTCCTAAAACTTTTATGTCAATAGATTGATCAGTTATATATGTATAATGCAATACTTACAGAATTGCTAAAGCAGCTATACAAAGATTTATACTCAATAACACCACAGATAAATAAAAATAGAACACTAGTAAGTAGTACAAGTAACTTAGTGGAAGGCAGGAAGGAGAAAATGGAAATACAGAACAGAGAGAACAAATACAAAAGAAAACATAAAATGGCTAACTTAAGCCCAGCTAGATCAATAATTAATTTAAATTGGTCTGAATTAACCTATTAAAAGACAGAGATTGACAGAGTGGGTTGGACAATGTGACCCACTATGCACGGTGCCTAAAAGAAACTCACTTCAAATATAACCATAGCAGCTGCAATGTGTATGAAACAAAAACTGGTAGAAGTAAAAGAAGAAATAGACACTTCCACAATTATTATTGGTGACTTAAATATCCCTCTATCGACAGCAGATAGACTTTTGGACAGAAATTCAGGCAGGATATAAAAGAACTCAGCGGCACCATTCATGAACATAATTTCATTGGTGTGTTTAAAACACTTCACCCAGCACCAAAAGAACACACTTTGTTTTTTAATTGCCTGTAAAACCTATATCAAGATAGACCATATCTGGGCCATAAAACAAACTTCAACAATTTTAAAAGAAGTGAAATCATACAGAGTGTGTTCCCTGTTCATAATGAAATAAACTGGAAATTGACACCGGAAACCAGTGTCAGATTGTGGAAGTTCTCCTTCATTATTTTTTCAAATAAGTTTTCAATTTCTTGCTGTTCCTCTTCTCTTTCTGGCACCCCTATGATTCAGATGTTGGGACATTTAAGGTTGTCCTGGCCATTCCTAAGTCTCTCCTCATTGTTTTTGTATTCTTGTTTCTTCATTTTGCTCTGCTTGAATGTTTATTTCTTCCTTCTGCTCCAAACTATTGACTTGGGTCCCGGTTTCCTTCCCTTCACCCTTGGTTCCCTGTACATTTTCC